AAGCTCTTTGTAAGCCTGGGCTACCCATGTCCATTCATTGTAAAGAGCAGAGGAGGTCAGCATGCTTTCTAGGTGGGTCTCAGTTCTCCGGTGGGGACAGGCTCAGGCTATTCCAAAGCAAGCACACCCTCACTGCCCCATTGGCTGCTGACTCTGCTGCATGCAGCTGTTGTCTCCCTCTTTAGGGACCACAGGGTAAATATATTTTCAAGTATTTATACACACTTCTGGAGAATTGAGTTAACTTGAATATTGAAGGAAGATTAAACAGTTTGTGTGTGTGTGTGTGTGAAAAGCATAGCTGACATTTATTAAGAGTGTTTTATGTGAATTAACTAATTCATTTGTTCAGCACTATTGAGAATATTTTATAGGAATAAACTAATTTATTCTCTTACTTCAACAACTGGGAGCACTTGTAATCCTTGCTGTAAAAATAAGGAAACCGGTGTGTATGTGTAGGGAAGCCGAGTAATAGGCCCAAGGCTGTACAGTATAAAGCTGAGAAGCTCAATTTTATATGTACTCTGTTAACACAGATATGCTACAGTTTAAAAATACAAAATCAAAAGATGGTTATAGCAATGACTAAAAGGACTTCAAAATAAATGAACTTCAAAATCCATCTCTTTGGTACAGGCCTTCATGATCTTTATTTCAAGATTCTTTTTATAGTAAGTTTAAAGCAGTGGCCCTTAACCTTCCTAATGCTGTGACCCTTTAATACAATTCTTCATATTGCAGTGACCCCCAACCATAACATTATTTTACTTGCTATGTCATAACTGTTAATTTTACTACTTTATGAATCATGATGTAAATATCTGTGTTTTCTGATGGGCTTAGGCAGCACCTGAGAGTCATTTGACTCCACCAAAAATAGTGAGACACCCATGTTGAGAAGTTCTGGTGTAAAGCATAGGAGCTTATCCATGATCCATTGTGCATCCAGCATGTGCATATCTTTATTCTGCTGCAGTAGTGTTGAAGGCCCATGGAGCCACGTAGCTCCTTCTTCACAAACAGTTCCTGAATGCTGAATGCTCTCTATATGCAGGCATAGAAAATTCAGTCTAATCTCCCTCCCAAGAAGGAAGGGCAGGAGCCTCAAGGTACCCTAGTGACTTTATGCTGTAGGAGCCTTGTCAGGGGGTTGCTTTGTACTCATCTTGAGTTTTGGCTTTATAAAGTCAAACTTGATGAAAGTAAAGAGAACAAAAGACGAGAGGTAGTGAGACATTCACTGTTTTGCTATCCTTGGGGTCATCTAGCCACCACCTTAAAATGAATTGATACCCCCCCCCAAAAAAAAGCTTCAAGAAGAGAGAAAGCAGTGTAAAGTGAGAAAGGGGAGGATCGAATTTTATGAGACAAACACAGGAAATAAACAGCCCTAATTGACCCCATGTTTTGAGGCTGGAGGTGTGTGTGTGTGTGTGTGTGTGTGTGTGTGTGTGTGTGTATGGTGGGGGGTGTTGACAGGAATGACAGTAGAAATCAGGAGTTGGTTGACACAGTGGATTCAATGGGACAAGCATATGAAGAGTCACTGGTTCTTGGCACAGACAGTGAGCCAAGACACTCTGCTAGGCACAGGAGACCAGAAAGAAATCAGCATATGTCAAAACAAACATGAGAGGCAGGAGGGAAGAGAGACCTTTGGGAGTAGTTTCAATGATGGCATTCACCACCAGTCAAGCGTAGCTAATTAAAGACATCAGAAAGAACATTAGGATCTTCCTTGGGGTGGTAACTGAGAAGAAAGAGGTCGACAGGGACACAGAATCCTTCAGTCCAACTGTTCGTCCAACTGTGTGCTCAGCAGGTGTGTCTGGAGACAGTTGTTGTGGACAGATTACTCATTAATGTCAGAAACTGGGAGGGGGAGCCAAAAAATGGCACAGGGAAAAAAAATCACTTCTCTGGATGTAAAGGAAGCCAAGAGTCAGAGCGGGCTCAATGGAGCCAGGAGATATGGGTCCTGTGCTTTCACTGAGGGGTTTTTAACAACTACAGGGTTGGTGATTTCACAGAGTGAGTGGTTACCTGTTGAATGAGAGCAGAGGCTTAGAGGTCATGCAGGAGGGAGAGTGGCTTGTTCTCAACAAGTGACACACCTTGGAGAATGGGATTTACAGTCTGAGTCATTCTTACATTTTTCAATAAGTTTTCAGTAAGTTTCTCATAATATTTCATGTGAACTCAGATTAGTGGTGCAAAAGCACATGCTTCTCAGTTCTTTTATGTCCCGTTGTAAATGCTGGCTCTTTAGAAGTTGTATTATTTTTGTCTCTCTTCTGGAGGCCTGCTGTTCCCTTAATTGATGTGGTAGCATTTGACTGGCTTGTTGCCCATCCTCGCATAATCATTATTTTCCATATCTCAGTTGTTGCTCCATTTCATTAACTTTTTCAGAAAATTGCTCCCTATTTATCTATTTATAGGTTTTGAATGTGTGTAGTCTTTGTCCAAACCCAGTATGATTTCCTTTATCTCCTTGCTTTTGATCTTTAATTTTCCTTTGTTCAGAATCAATCATTTTTCCCCTCGATACTTCCCTTTGATATCCCTTTCTTACAAGTGCTGACACTATAATTGGGATTTTCTTGAATATATGCTTTATGTAAAATCTTCTGGTTATAGGTGGTCAATCTGGGAGACAGCAGGTCTCCAATTCAAGGCTCCTGGACTAGTGTCCCAATACTGTCTCAACCCTCCTTTCTTCACCAAAGCCAATTCCTTCATCTGTTCCTTCCAGTAAGTAGCTTTACCCCACATTCTCTTTGTCCTTTCCCTGGAACCATAGGATTTCATAATTTAAAATCCTGTTTCTTTCACAGCATGTAAGCTTATTCATTTTAATGCATTTTCCTACAACTTTTTAAAAACATATTGTTTATTTAATAACCATGACTATTTTGCCTGCCTGTATGTCTGTATACCACATGCATGCCTAATGCCGGGGAGACCAGAAGAAGGTGTCAGCTCCCCTGGAACTGGAATTTGAGATGGTTGTAAACTGACCTATGGGTGCTGAGGGTCAAACCCAGGTGTTTAGCAAGAGCAGCAACTGCCCTTAACCACCAAGCTCTCTCTACAGACACTTCCTAACTTTTAATACCATTATTTACCTATGGATCTAAGATCTTCAACTTTCTCTTTCTCCTCTATTGCAACTATATAGAAACAACCTTGTATTAGCTCTGTGTATCCAGTAGTTTAATGTATTCTTTATTGCCTGGATGATTAAGTCTATTTTAGTGGATTGATTCTTGTGGCATCTCTTCAGGCCTGTGCTTAGAAGAAACTAGAATCTAATATATGCCCATAGACTGAATGGATGAACTGAAACCCTCATTGCCTCATGGAAGTATCACAGAATATCTCACCATCTCCTTTCCTGTTGCTTTCGATGATGTACATTTAGATGCAGTCAGGCAAGGTAAAACTGCGAATCTTGGGTTTCTCTGATTTCAAGATTTCACTAACTGTTTCTAAAACCTTTTATCTAGTTAACTCAGCTTCTTGCTATTAAGATGTGTTATCTTCATGGCTCAGAAATAAAAATCCCAGGGTAAAGAAAGAAAGAGGCCCAATGTCTCCTGTTTCTGAAGCCCTGTTCGACTGCCCCTGGCTTAAGCTTCCTGGGGCTGAATTATCTGAAACAGATCTTGTTGTAACACTGTGCAATGTAAATTCTAAGAACTAAGGGGGCACTTGCCTGTGTCCAAGAAAGCTGTGGTTCAGAGGAATGGTAATATAAATTATAAGCAAAACATACACTCACACCTTTTATACCTAAAGTGATGTTTTTGATCCTCTCTAGGCTCCTCATAGGTCTTGGCTTCACACTAGCTTCATACTGGATCACCATATTTTATGTGAAAGCACAGAAAGCTACTAGTGGCCACACTGGTTAGTGACCAACAGTACTTTTGTACTCAAAGCAATATTGTCTCTCAGTTCTCTCTGAAATTGTATCATCTGGGTTGTTCTTGGATTTGATTCTTGCTACCACATGTCACAGGGCAAAGTACATACTCTGAATTTTCTCTAACTGATTTGGATTAGCTCACAAAAGTACTCCCAACTCCACCACTGTGTGTAAGCCTTCTGGAATCTCACTATAAGCCATCCAGGTCCCTTCACTTACTGCAAAACTGGGCCACGATACCAAGCTCACCTGTACCTGTCCCCTTATGTCAAAGTACCCTGTCTGCTGTCATTACATTGGATGCAATGTCCCAGGGAAGGAAGTAACAACATGTTCCACAGTCATGGGCCCATTGTTGCTTCCATTCACCTCTTCTGATACTGCTACAACTGGTATTTGACACTTACCATACTCCAACTGCTACAAGAGACACTCAGCATCACCTCAGACAGCTATATCTTCTACATTTTGAATTGTATTAGATTATTCTACACTGTGACCTCTATTCCTCTTGGAGTTGTACTTTGTCACAGAACAAGAGCAGGATACCTCACCACATAGTCTCACAGGGATTTCAATAGGCATATGTCTCCTTTGCTCTTTATTCCCTATCTTTGTTGTAAACCTCACTTCCCAGGACCCTCTGGGGGAAAGGTTGAAACCAAAGTCTAGATAAGTCTGAATGTTCCCTGCCCTCCTTGAATTACTTCAATCTCTAGGACTGTCTTTGAGATAGTCTCCAGAGCTCAACCCTTATCAATACTTGCATTCTCTTTCCAAAGAACTTCCAAATACTATGGCAATTAGGCCTGTTTTAGAACTACCTCATGGGCTTACCAGTGTTGCTCAAGTGTGTCTGAACCCTAGAATAAACAGGCCAGGTTAATTGTGAGACCCCCCCCCCATCCCTTGATTTATAGTTACAGGAATATAAGCACGTCTGGTCCTTTCCACCTTTATTTCCTGTAATCCTTTTTGTTTATGAGTAACAGCACAGGTTAGAACATAGTTTAACATCAACCACTTCATTAGTTTCAAAATAACACTACCATATAAACAGTACAGGTACCATTTTAAGTGTCTTTAATCTTCATGTAGCTGATATATACAAAGTTGCCTTTTCTCCAAAGCTGTCTGTTCTAGTTTTGTTTCTGTAGTTGTCACAAAGTAGCCTGACAAGAAGCAACTAAAGAAAAAGATTTATTTTAGCTTACAATCCACAAGTCACCCTTATGGTGAAGCTAGGCAAGCTCTTCAAATGGTCAGTATACCACACCCACAGTCAGGAGCATGAGAAATGAATGTGTGTCTTTGCCCATGCTCCACTTGTTTTCTCCATGTGTATACAGCTCAAGACCCCTGGCTAGGGAATGGTGCCGCCCAGAGTTGGCTGAGTCTTCCACCATCAATTTAATTAAGACAATAGCAGGCCAACCCAATTCAGAAAATCCGTCATCGAAACTCTCTTCTCAGGTGATCCTAGGTGATGTCAAGTTATTCCTTGAATGAGTTGTACAGTGTGAAGGGGACATGATTATTATTTGTTGAATTCAAATATATATCACTGATTTTTAAAATCTGTGTGTCATGTTAATGAGGTTTAGAGAAGGACAGCCTTTGCTTAATCATAGCTATAATTTATTAAAGAGTTAGAAATGCTAGCCCAATTTGGTAAACTCAAAACTGGTTTGTAAACAGTCAGAAGTCTGGTACAAGAAGATTTTGCTGTGTTCCCTTCTAGCAAATAAGCATGTAGTTGATTTTGGCTAGCACAGGAGGAAAAACAATTTTAAGTGAAAATTAACTCATTTAATTCTTCTATAAACTCTTATCCAGAGGAACAGTCCCATTTACAGGTTTGAGAGACGAGTTTCAATTCACTTCACTGAGCACAATTACAGTTGCCTCTTTGTCAAGACCTGTGCTGAGGTGAAAGGAGGGATTATAGAACTGATTACAAACCAAACTTAAATATCAAAAAGTTCACAGTTTGCTGGGGGAAATAAACCTCACACATAACTAGGAGACAGTTGACTGTGATAAGAAACAGATAAAACACCATGCTAATCCAGGAGAGTAAACAACACAAGTAAGCATTCTTTAAAATGTAAATAGCTCTCCTTCACTTGCAGATGGGAATAAGAATGAAATCCACTCAATTAATCAAATATGCAGATGTCAAATGACCCCAAGCATCCACCCCAAGATACACCCAAGTGTGGGCCCCACTCACCCTAGAGTAGCATTGGTCTTACTGGAACACAAGCTCTCTGTAGTTATTGCAGGGTGTTGTTCTTAATCAGTAGCAGAATTTAGATTCTTAGTTATTGACCACTGGAAGTCAGGCCTCTACTGCCTGGGTGGTCTGACTCAGCCCAGACCCTTCTGTCACAATTGATGTTCTCTTGTATCATTAAAGGATATTAGATTTCCATGGAGGCAGATTTCCATTTCCAGGGGGTGCACACAACCCACTAATGATGATTACAAATGGGAGAGCCATGTGTATCCATCCAAATTGAAGTCACACCTTCACCCTTGGAATATATTGTGATTACATTAAAGAGACATTACAAGTCTGTCGCCTCTCATTCCATTTATTGTGTGTGTGAGTTACATCTGATCCTTTTACTTCTGATTAAACTGCAAGCATTTCCTGCGGATTCAAATGTGACTTCTCTACTACAAAACAGCAGCACACCCAACAGTTCCAGTTTGGAAGTGAGCAGGAAAAACTACATCCATTTAAACAAGCTGGTGTACTGACTAGTAGGCACAAACATGCTTTTTGATTCCAAAATGTAGATCACAGACATTGTGCCTGGGACCTGCCTTCAATTTTCTCTTAAAAAGACAAAGCCGAGCTGGCTTATACTCTGTCTTGTCTTCAGTATCATTTCTCTCCTAAGTGGCCAAGCATGATTTCCATCCTGCTTCATGCAGGAGAACTGACAAGGGTGACTGCCCGAACTGGTAACTTTTTTTCTGGAGGAGTGGGGGAGGTGCCTGGATTTGAGGTCAACAAAGGGAAACAAAAGACCCCCCCCAAAGGATTTTCTTAGGGTGTAACCTGTCATATCTTTGTGACTGTTTTAAATATTATGCATTGAACATTTTCCCATTTTCTTTATATAAAAGAACATTACCCCAGTCCTTTATATATAACTGTAATTACAAAATCTAAGTCGATAGGCTAATCTTTATCGCCCTCACATTACAGAAGAGAAATGAAGGCCAGGGATGTTGTTAAGATGAGATGGGGAGGACAATGTCAGGCAGTTGCTTAGGAGATTGATTCTATCTGCCTGGACTCTAGGAGCACCGTGAACCATGTTCTAAGTAACAGGAATATCAATGTGTGTGAGCAGTGGGCTTTATACCATTCATCCATCTCCTAATGCTCCACCTTTCATATGGACATCAAAGCATTGTCCTGTCTGTAATTAGGGAATCCTAAAAGTTTATTGCACAATGTCTATCTCAGGATACTTACAAGAGTCAAAGGAAAGAGACCCACTGAATGGAACTTGGATGTGAAAGTCACTCAAAGAGGCTGTATCTCAGGTGGTTGTATAGATACTAGGGACTGCTAGAAACACCCAAATGGAATGGAATACAGACTCTAGAACACACCTCCAACATACCCAGCCTGAAGATATATTCATTCATCACAGATATTAGTTCCTAAACCTTTGTGTGAACTGATGGCAGCAAGAGGAGACAAAGATCATCATTCAGATGCAGGCAGCTATGAAATGAAAATCTCCTGGGACTGGTTACACACTCCCATTTACCAATCAGGCAAGAGCTGTCTCAGGTCCCAGCTAGGAAATGATGTCTCACATTCCTGGTTAGATTACTTTGATGCTCAGTGAGTTTTCTACCAAAGTCTCTACTTCAATCATATGTAATTCAGACAACCCTGAGATCTCAAAACCCACTGTTTCCTGCTTCTTTCTCACTAAGAGGCTGCAAAAGCAGGTCACCCTTAAGCTTAGGTGCTGAGCATGTGAAGAGAAATGATCTTGGGGACTGGTAGATTATGCACTGATAGACACCATGCTATATCCCTGCATGATTTATTAGTTCTTATAAGTACATATCTGCCCCAAATCTTATGTCCTGAATTAAAATGTATTTTAATGAGCTCAACATTGTTCTGCAGTTTTGCTCACAATCAATTTGCAAAGCCACTGATACAGTATGATTTCTGTTTTCTGGCCCTCCTGGCTTAAGCTTACCATAGCATCTACAGTATGAATAGAATAGTCACTAAGCTATGGAGCACAGTGGAATCTCACAAGCTCTAAACTGCCGTGGTTCCCACAGCATTCTTTATGTCTGCTCATGAGAGACCCACACAAGGCCCTTGGGAAGGGAAAAAATAAATAAAATTTAATTTGATTCCTTTGCCTGGCTTTTAAGACCATCATAAACTGTCATTGGTTAGTTACCAGGAAATAAGATTTAAAATATTTAAAGTAATTGATTTTTCCCTGTGTAAACAACTTCAGAGCTAAGCTAAGGGTTAGCATATTATCCTTACATTTCCCTTGGCAGATGCTGGGGAGAGGTGGGAGGCATGTTTGGGAAGAGGCAGCTATAATCTTTCCCAGCCGAAGTTCTTAATTACACTCAGGTCTTGAATCCTCAAGTTAGCATATTTTGCCCATTCATTGCTCAATAAATATTAATTGGTGTAGATGGGTTATAATTTAGCATGTGCATGATCTATAATTTACCTGTAGCCTATAATTATTCTAAATGTTTGAATAAGGGAATTGATTGGAATGAAAAGAAAATAACTTATTTAACTTTTTAAGAAATGTTATTATGATCCAAGTCTTCATAAAATCACCCAAACTCATGTGGCATTTCCTGTAGATTGGGAAGATATCCCATGACAAGACTGTAGTTGATACTAAAGTCAGGTAGATGCAAGCTCAACTTTTCTGGTGAAAAACAACTAGTTCCTGCTATCGACCCAGCTCAAAATGACCATTTTCAAAGAAAAGAAATACCTCCTTCATACACAAGAACAAGCCCCAAGCGACCATAGATTTTACTTTGGGCATGTTTATTACCCTCTGAAATTCTTTGACAGCTTTGTACACTTCTATGATGAATTTTGGTCATTGTGCTGTTCCCATTTCCCTGTCATCCCCCTTCCCTTCCTGATGGGTCCCTTCTTAGCAAGTCTCCTCCTATTTATCATATTCAATCCAACCCACTACACTCAGCGCAAATATATGTAACATTTTAAAGTGAGATAGCAATTTGATTTGTATATAAAATGCATTCAGACTATTGTAACAATCCTACCCAGTCTAATCTCCATCCCACCCCTATTGTAATCTCCTTCTACAAGTCATTTTTCCCAAATTCATCTCTTTTTGTTTTCTTTATTGATTGGTTGTCTTTTCAGACACACTGAGTTTAAGGATCCATGCAACAATAAGTAGTAATTTCCATTTTGTTTTTTTATCAAAAGTGATTTGGATAAGGAGTAGGTTTGCCCATTACTATCAGTATGTAAATGCTTGTTTACTGTTAATCTTCACCAATAGGTAGATCCAGCTGACTTATTTCTTTTTACTATGAGGTATGAGGACACGGGGAAGGAACATTAGAAAACACAGATGGTACACTTTTAATTATTAACAAATGAATGTTATGTGTCACAATGTGCACTAATCAAATATCAGAAGATGAACTGTTTGTAGCCATAGTAATACATACTAATAAAGTTCAGTGCAATACATCTGTCCCTCGGCACAATGGATACTGATCAAAACCAAGCTCAGTGTCTGACTCCAATCCCATCAGATTCTCCTTCCCAGGAATGAGATGATTTAGTTGATACCTAACTCTGTGTACCTGGGATTGCCTAAGACAATGCAATTTGGGATGTTGATAGGCTACTATTCTCTGTCCAATATACATGTAAGAGAAGCAAGGGAGAAAGTTCATGTGAGAGAGAACTAAAGAAGTACAGTAAACTGAGGCTAAGACCAAGGACACTGCAAAGTCCATACTACAGTCTCCTCATTCTGTTCCATTCCATCCTTCTATATCTACAAGAGATTCTATTGCTCTGCACCTTCCAACATACAACACAGCCACTTGATACTCATTGAACACCTTCCTCCTGTTTTCTTATGGCTTATGTTCAAAGACTGCTCTACTATTTCATTTTATTAAAAAATGACCATACCTCTGTCACCTCCCCATTTTTACCCCCTGAGAGACTTTGCAGTTGGCATACCGCCTACCCTCTAGAACATTTCTTCAAAAACAAAGAATAAAATCATATGTTTGACTTGCAGGGTGGAGATGAAAAATAGTTTTTATTCTCAAAAGAGCCAAATACTCTCACAGTCAAATTGGCCAGCAGGGTTAACCTAGTGCCAGTGCCTAGGACCTCCGGGACTGTGGAAGGAGGGCTAAATTGTGCAAGTGGAGTGGAAAGAGACTGTTGCTACTCTCTCCCAGTCAACTTCACACTTGCACCTGCTAAGACATCTATACACAAATACACACACACACACACACACACACACACACACACACACACAAAGAAAGGACTGGTAAGCCAAACCAGTGGTCCTCAGGTAGCATCTCTGCAGTCTTTGTCAAGCTGTGGGAGCATTCAGCCAGCCCCTAGTCTCTCTTGGGTCATAACCTCCATTCCTTCTGTGCTGTCTCTCTTCTGAGCTTCCTTGCTTCGCAGTTCTATTATTGTCTCATGAAACTTTAAAACTCTCCACCCTTCCTTCATTGTAGTCAACTTTAAATAAATTCAGAGTGTCACTTGTTAAAATAAATGACATTTAAACAACCTCAGCATGGTAACTCATTCCTCATTATCATAGAGAGCTCTCCTGAAAGGTCTATAGTACATTATCTCTATGAAATAGATTTTACCTTCAATATTAACGTCATTGCTTAGGGAGGACAGGAGCTAAGCACTCTGGTGAGAGGTGGCGTAGAAATGCATAGGTAGATTGATAGGACCGCACAAGTGATGATGATCTAAAACAAAAGCGGAGGGAGGTTTAGGTTAAATATTAGGCAGCAAATCACAGCCTCGTGAGAGCTGTGATGACTGAACAAGCTGCCTTGCAAGACCAAGAAGATTTGTTTAATTTCAGCTACTCAGCTCACAGTGTTTATGCCTCTGTAGAGAGAGAAGTGACCTACAGGGTACATGCATTAACCACCATGTACCTCACTTGTGGAAACTGAGAACCAAATGGAGGTGAAGTCACTGAACACACTACCCCTGCTTTCATGTGGCTCCTAGAGACCTTGCAGTCTTTGTGTGGTGGAATGTTTATTAGCACACCTGGGAATATAGGCACTTATGCATGCGGAAGCTGGAGGAAGACTTCAGGAACCTTCCATGGTTATTCTGTTTTATTCACCCAGGCAGGGACCCTCATTTTAATCTAGAGCTCATCTAAAATGGCTAGTGTAGCTATCCAGATTTCTTCATGAATCCCCATCTCCACTCTCTGAGTGTTAGAATTATAGACAGGCTGCAGCAGCCACCCAGCATTCATGGGTTCTAGTGGGTATCGAACTCACGTCCTCATGTTTGCTTGACCAGCCAGTACGTTATCCACTGAAATATCACCCAAGACCCAGAACCCTGCAGTCCTATGCCTCTTTTGTCTCTCCATGTCTCTTGACACAATACCATGTCAATTTTCTCATGTCATCCTCTATTTCCTCTGTTTTACTTTTCTTAAGAATGTAAAACCAATGGGATAACTACTAGTGCTTTGACTATGGGGTTATTTCCTTTGCAGCTGGAAGGGTGGCCAGTCAACAATTTTTTTTTATTACCCAGTGTTCAAGGAGAACTTCTGCTCAGGCAGAGGACTCTAAGCCATGGTGAGTCAATAGACTCAACTGAGGCCTGGGGTTTTGAATGGTAGGACACAGACATGGTTGTTTTTCTTCCAAACTTCTTTTGGAACCTGATATCTGTATTGGTTGGTTGTGTGTGTCAAATTGACACAAGCTAGAGTCATCAGAGAGGAAGGAGCCTCAGTTGAGGAAATGTTTCCATGAGATCCAACTGTAAGGCATATATATTCTCATTTAGTGGTCAACAGGAGAGGGCCCAGCCTATGATGGGTGGTGCAATTCCTAGCCTGCTGGTTCTGATTTCTATAAGGTAGGTTGAGGAAGTCATGGGAAACAAGCCAGTAAGCAGCACTCCTCCATGGACTCTATCTATATCAGCTCCTGCCTGTGTGATCCTGCTCTGTTTAAGTTCCTGTCCTGATTTCCTTCAGTGATGAAAAGCAATGCTGAAATATAAGCCACATAAACCCTTTCCTTCAAAGCTTGCTTTTTGGTCATGGTGTTTCACTGCAGAATGGAAACCTTAACTAAGACAATGTCTAACATGTAGGTCATTCCAGGGTACAACTCTTCTGAATTCTGGTCAGGTGTTTTGTGTTTTATATATATTCCAAATAAGCACTCAGTGCTTGTACTACAAATATAATCCTAACTACATGATGAGCAATCAAAGTCTAAAAGAAAGCATAGTCTTTGAAGTATCTGCAGAATACGCACAGCAAAGAAAGGAGGCGACTTTTAACACTTATGTACAGAGGACTTGGAACACAGGACAGGACTCTGACTCTTGGGCTGTTTATTCTATAGCAAAATTAAACAAGTTGGTGTGGCTATGATTGGATCATAAGGCAGGAGGAAAGGTCATTTGGGATGAATAAATATTTTAAATTCTGAAAACAATTACTGTACTTTATCAAGCATGGGGACTTGCACCAATGGAGAGTCTAGGAATGAGAATTACCATCCTAACTTGTAAATCACTTTATAACCTGGGTGTTTTCCTTAGGTCCTCAACTAGGAGCTAGAAGCTGGAGACATTCAGAACCATTCCCCCCTCAAAACAAATGTACTATCTGGACAGGTGATACACTTGGTGAATTAGAGCCCTTTCTATACCTCAAAGTCCTTTCCTTACTGTGTATTTTAATAAATGAATTCCCTGGTTGTAGCCATCTGGGCCACAGTGATTCTTGTTGTCTGCCCTAATGGGCTTTAACTGTAAATTTGGCATAGGTTAGAAATACCTATGAAATAAAAAGGGAGTCTCAACTGACGGTATGTCTGTGATGAGTTATCTTGACTGTTAATTGACTTAGTCCACTGTGGGAGGAACCATTCTCTGAGCATATGTTCCTGGACTAGATAAGAAAGCTAGCTGTTAAAAGACAAAAACAAACAAACAAAAGAGGGGGAGAGAGAGACAGAGAGAAAAGAAGGAAGGAAGAAAGAAAGCTATCTAAGCGTGAGCCTGAATTGACCAGCAAGACTTGTTCCTCTGTTCCAACTCCATGCTTCTACCTGAGTTCCATCCCTGACATCCCTCAATGATGGACTGTGACCTGCCTGTAAGCTAGAAACACCCCTCCCATAAATTGGTTTTGGTCATGACATTTGTCACAGCAACAGATTTAAACTCTAATAGTGGTCTATACAAATTCCCTCAGATTAAAGATATTCTCATAAGGCCCCATCAAGGGTCCAAAGCTTATCTTTGGAACTCACACAAGTGAAGTGTTTAAAATAATTATTTACAAGCAATAATGAAAATATTTGAGATACTCTTTAAAACTTTAGTTATGAAATATCAATAAAATAATTGCCTAATTCCAAACCATGTACTATTCTAATTAATTCTGTGTGAGACATTTTTTCAGCTTCAAAGATTGCTCTACTTGTATTGCATAACAAAATAATAGTATAATTAGGAATAAATTTGTCACTTTTATAAGTAATTCCTTTTTATTATGTGTTTGGAAGCAAAGCACAAGCGTGATTAAAGTCTCTTTTAAAAGGTTTTTATTAATTACTATGATTATTATGGATAATCAAGGTCCACGAACTACAGAATAAACCCCAGACAAGATGTACAAAGCCATGAAACAGTGATGGATCCTGGATCCCGGGTTGGCTATTCTTGGTGGCCTGGGTCTCCCTATTTACCCTTTTCTTTATGAAAATCAAGGAAGGGAGCTGACTTGCACTTTCAGTCTCCTGCTGTTTGCTCTCAAGTGATCTCCTTCCTGGTGGCACAATAGAAAAGGCAGGGTGTTGCCTTAGTCAGCAGTTTTCAACCGGAGGTCAAAGGGGTTACCAAGACCATCTGCATATCAGATATTTACATACAATTCATAACAAACTATAGTTACAAAGTGACAAGGAAAGTAATTGTATGGTTGAGGTCACTAAATATGAGAAACTGTATTAAAGGGTCCCAGCATTCCCAGCATTAGGAAGGTTATGAATCACTGGTCTCGGTGCTTTTGTGCCTTCAGATGCCTTTCGCCATTACCTCTGGTCTAATTTAATCAAACCTTAACACAGAGAACTGGAAACCCTCTGCCCAGGAGGGAAATTTCTCCAGTGCCACACTCACCTCAGTTATAGTCTCTTTCCTGATAACAAGCTCCTAGTTCCATTTACATTGCTCTGATAAAACACATGATCAAAGTGACTTTGGGGATGAAGGGACTTATTTGGTTTACAATTCTAGGTTACAGATCACCATTGCAGTGAAGTCACAGAGGCCAGAGTTCCATGGAGCTGGTCATACCACAGCCATAGGGAAAGACTCTAAAGAGAGACTAGTGTACCCATGCTGCCTGCCTACTTGTCCTCAGTTTTCCTCTTACACAGTTCAGGGCCCAGCTCATGAAATCATGCTCCCCATATTTAGGGAGTGTATTCCTACCCCAACTAAGACAATCCCTACAGACAGGACCACAGGTCAGCCCAATCTAGAAAGTTCTTCAATTAAGGCTCTCTTAGGTGACTCAAGCTGATAATTAGAAACTAGCTAGTATAGAGGGGGATGAGCTCCTCAATGGAAAGGACTGTGTCTGTGTCTTCTTGCTTTTGTTTTTTTCTTCCTTAGATCACTAACTTAGAGGCAGTCACAGCACAATTCAAGAATTTTCACTGAGCCAGGGACATACTTGTAGCTGCACATGAGAAAAACAAGGCAAGAAGAGAAGTTCAGTAGCTTGAGAACACCTTGGAGAACATAGCAACACCTGAACTCCCACTTTAAAAAGACAGTTCTTGAATATGTGGGCCAATTAATGGCATAACAAATTACCACGAGTTTGTGTTACCCACAATAAATGCTCTGGCCTCTACTTCTGACTTTGGACCCCAAGAACCTTGTATGGAGTCAACTATTGTTGAATACCACTCCTCTATAATGTCTAGTCTGTCCTAGTGAGAAAGCCATACTCATGTCTCCCCAGTATCCCACTATTATTAATATCCAGACCAGAGGTTTGTACAGCATCTTAGCCACCAGAATACGTAGACACATCTTTCTTCAAGTTCTTCCTATCACAAGGGAAAAACAAGACCTGGGTATGGATGCAGGCCCACCCAAACTTTCTCTGAATTATGTCATCTAAGACACAACATTTCCAGTGCTCATCCTTGTGTGTTTCCAGGTCCTTCTCTTTTAGAAATTGGAGAGACCAGTATCTGAAGGATGACACAAAGGAAGCCCAGCAGATATAAAAAGAGACAAGTAGGGTCCTTGGGGAGAGATGTGCTCCAGTAGACCTCTCCCTACAAAGCTTTCATTCTCTGATCTGCTCCTTATGTTCACAGAAAACCACAGATATTCTTGGAGTCATACCACTGATAGGGCCATCTGTCCACTTCTTTCCCTACGACTCGATGCTCTGCCTCTGTCTCGTCCCTCTGAAGCCCTTCTGCCCTCTCACCCATTCAGCCCATTAGCTAAAAGACAGTACTATCTGCTAACAATGACTGACATCACTGCCAAATGATGATCCCCATGGAAACCACATACAAATGAACATAAGACAGAAGACATATACCCTATTTTCAGTCTAGTTTCCTAAACTACTTCTGTCTGATTTCCTCTAGCCCTTTATCAGTCTGTAAGTGACTGACCAAACATCAGTTTGTACTGTAGGACAAAACTGAAGAAGAACGTGGGGCTGAATACTGTGAAGAGAGGCTCAACTCTGCAGGGAAAGGTTATTGCTACATTATGAAGGTTGTTTTTCCCTCAAGTCTAACACCATCCCTAAAAGAAACATGGCAGTTTTGCCCACCACAGGAAACTCCCAGGGCATCTAGGGAAAGGTCTGATTGTCCCATAATAAGTAATCATGAGATAGTTGTCTACATCCTACTAGATTCCCAGAATATTCTACAGAATTATGTGAATAGTACCTAGGGATAATATAACTTTTCTCTCCTTTAATGAGTTCTTTGAAATCCCTCAGTCTTTTCAAATATCCTTCTCGAAAATTCCTAAAAGTACCTCACCTACAGAATCCATAAGGTTCTGAAAAAGAAAGATTAGATGGATGGATGGATGATAGATTATAGATACAAATAGATGATAGAAAGATGATAGTTGATTGATAGATGGATGATAGAAAGATGATAGATGATGTCAGATAGATAGATAGATAGATAGATAGATAGATGATAGATAGACAAACAGATAAGGGATTGTGTTTCTCTCCCTGATAACAGGCCTGGCAAGTGGGTTTGGTATCACTAACGTGCCATTCTATGGCACATGAACTTCCTCTAGGTATGGTAAAGCACTGGATCTGGTATACACATGAGAACAAAAAGGAGTGAGCAGGGAAATCCTTCTTTTTGGGGCTTGGTGCTGGCCTTAGCCTAAGCAATTCTGATTTAAATGGCTAAAACAGATTCTGCTTGATTTTTAGAGCAACAATTGAAAGCCAAGGGGAGCCATAGTAGGGATAGCTATATGGAGTGGGGGTTGGAGGTGGGGGAGTGGGGTTTGGGGGATGGGGGAATGGGAGGTGGGAGATGGAAAAGTGGGGGCTGGGGTGGGGGAGTGGGAGTTGTAGAGAGGGAGAGTGAAGGATACCATTAGACTTTCTTAAAATCCTGTCTTGTTTGCTATATTTCTACTGTGCTATTTTTTTCTAGCTTCTTCCTTCATATCTTGCACATGCACATTTTTTTTTAAACATAATTTGGTCATGGGTGTCCTCTATGTGTCTCCAGGATGAGAGGTTTCACAGGACTTAGCCTGTAATTGTGAGAATATCCACAGATTTAGATATTGTCCTTTTTTTTTTTTTTTTTGGTACTTGTTCATTACTGACTGAGTCAGAAGCCCCAGTAATTTGGGAGAAATGACCAGAGGTTTGGGATGGTCAGGAATTCCTATTAATAATTAGGAGCATACCACCATGAATCCCAGTTTCCAAAAACAACTTAAGCCCTTCCACTTGTGCCTTTTGCCTATTTCCTGCAGAATTTACTGATTCTCTCCAACTCTTTTTTTCTTGTTTTATTTTGTTTTGAGACAGGGTTTCTCTGTGGCTTTGGAGGCTGTCCTGGAACTAGTTCTTGTAAATCAGGCTGGTCTTGAACCCACAGAGATCCACCTGTCTCTGCCTCCTGAGTGCTAGGATTAAAGGCGTGCACCACCACTGCCTGGCTATAAAGTATTACTACATGAGTCTATTTAGTATTTCCTTGACCACTAGATCTGTTCTTATCTGACCTATATAATGACTGTAGAGATAGACTGTGTAGTTTCCATGTTTATTCTACCAGTCACAGTGAGGATGAAATGAGAACTATCTAGAAAGTCATCTGTTCACCTATTCTTCAAACCATTATTGAGCACCCACTCTTATGCCAGGACTTATATTGAAGACTATCAACCATATGGAGATGTAATGGTCATAGTGTACAATGACATGCAATAGAAATATAGGCAGAGTGAATTCCACTGAGGGATGTATTCAGGAAGAACAGACTTCCAAAGTTAGTGATGGAATTGTATGCCAAAGCATTTCTATAAATACTTGTTGATTAATTAGGGGAGGAGTAGGCTTCTTTGGGGATTGCAGGGACAAACTGTTCTCATTAGCTGATGTTGAGAGAAACATTTTTCCTTATAGTGAGGGAGCTCATGGGAGTCAGCAAATGAAAATATGTGTGTTAATGATAACAAAAGGAGAAACCCAGAGGCAAAAGGCTCATATACATCTTGAATATCTGGCCAGCCCCTTCAATCTGCGTAGTCTCAGGAGAAGGGGTGATCCCCTCCTTTATGTTTCTTCCCAAGTCCTTGGAGATGCTGAAGCCCAGAGAGGCACACAACAATCCAGGCTCAGGATACTGTGTAGACTCAAGCTTGCAGCTGACCAATCTATGCAGATCCCTCTTAGAGATCCTGACCTGGCAAGAGGTGGGAGCCCGTGTGTGGTTTAGACTTTGCCTGCACAGTTTATTTATGCTGCAGCATATGCTGGCTCAGCAGATGAAGGCAGCTCCAATTTTCCATGTTCATTTTAGAACTCCCTAAATTCTCAGAAGTTACATTCTGCAGTAATCTCGTCCTGTCCTTATGATTTGTAAGTGAAACATCTGTGGGTTTTTTGTCCTTTGAACTTCGGAGCCAAATGGCCAAAATCTACCTCCAGTTAACCTTTCCCCTGGATCTGGTGACTGACAATAAGCATCTTTTGCAAACTGGTGATGTTTTCATTGTTACAGCTCAGTTCACACTGTCCTTGGGCTTGCATGTCCTCAATCTGCCTACAGATCAATGTCGAGAAGTAAGGAAACACAGAGTGATGTGTAAGACCGCTTGTCTTGGGGGAAGAAGCAATCTAATCACACATGTGTCATGTGAGGTATACCTAGGCTCCCTCCCCCAATCATATTCTATCACTTATAATGGATTCTGTTCATGCACAGTTACCACACTTTCTGTGGGGCAATAGTTACCCAGGATTTTCAGCTGTCCATATTAAACAGAAAGAGACAGAATTGGGTCTGTCAAACAACAAACTGAGAAGAAAGACTTGTATTTTTAATTCTCCTTATGCCTAAACAGCAGCAACTAAAAAACAAAACTTTATATTAAAATTCATCATAGTGGTCAGCTATGGTGGTCCACATCTTTAATCCAGGGCTTAGAAGTTAGAAATAGGAGTTGGGATTTCATAGTAATGAAACAATTAATGTCCAGAAAGTTTAATGGTCCATGTCTGCCAAATGCATGAATTTTTAAAAATCAGCATTTAAAGCTGAAAATGAGGTCAAGTAGTGACATTGTTTCTTTATCTTTTGAGTTCAAAGTTCAAGAGTATCAATGCAGCCCTTCAAAGTCTGTATTGGGTTTGAACATTTGAACTATTCATGACACATACTGAGACATTTTATTTGTCTCTCTGACGTGCATGCCCTGGAGGTCTAAATACCCCACAGTGGTACTTCTAAGGGTTTCAGTTCTTTTTTCAAGAATCTCACTTAGGCTGGGGACACAAAGGACTGGGAATTAATTCAAAGGACTTAGACCATTGGAAAATGGCAAAACACAAGCTGAGAAGGGAGGGAGCTTCAGAAGCAGTATTGACTCCAGATTCTACACTTACAGTCTTGATAGAAGTTTAGCTTCCTGGCAAAAATGCAGAGCTTAGGAAAGCTGGGTGCCAATAGGTTATGTTGGATACACTGAAGACAATAGAAGGCTGAACAAGGGAAATTTAAAAACTGAATTAAGAAAGGGAGTAACCATAAAGGATAATCTCACTTGCTTTGTCTCCTTGATTGTTTTGTTTTGGTGTGTGTGTGTGTGTGTGTGTGTGTGTGTGTGTGTGTGTGTGTGTGTGTGTGCTTGTTCTTACCATTTCCATCATACTAATGCATGACTCAAGAGCTGCTGTGAACAGTGGGCTCTGTATGACCTCAGAGCTGCTGTGAACAGTGGGCTCTATAGAATCACTACATTTTACCAGAGGTTCAAGGTCAGGGCTGGCCCTGCTCAGGAGAGGTACTAAGGACATCCACCAAATTTTTCTCTTTTTTTGGCCAGGAATATCAATTCCCAAGACTAGGGCTATCATTCACTGGTAGAGCATTTTGCCTAGCATGCACAAAGCCCTGGGTTCAATCTTGGCAATGCAATAAATAAGTAAATTCATAAATAAATAAGTTGCAAAAGCATTTAATAGGGGGAAGAAAGCTTCAAAGTGAGAGATAAAATTCTAAAATAGCCACTCAGCCTTAGGAAATGTGTTTTAAAAGCATGCATTCACCTGCAGGTACAAAGCACGGACAGATGTTGGAAGAGAAAATGACAGTCTCAGATGCCCCCACTGAACATGACTCTGTTACAAAAGGTTCATAGTTAACCTCCTTCAGCTCTGCCTAAGGCTGGCCCTGTTGAAACATGTCCATTACTCAAAATAACACTTCTCTATGACTGCCTCTGCAGAAACAGAGGTGAGTTCCCTATCATCTGCATGGAACAGAGGCCCACTGGAAACAGCAAGGAAAGTCCAAGAATGCAAATAGCTCAGCCCTCTGCAAACAGACCTTCCCCTGACTTATGCATCCCAAGATTAGGTGATAATGGTAATTTTCCAAGAGGCTGTATTAAACTGAGGCCATAATGAATGGGAGGGGGCATTAAACTTGGGGTACATTTTTCTTTATCAGTAAATCACTTAATGTATTACCACCTCTGCCTTGACTCTGCTAGACTAAGACATTGGAGTTTTACTACATGATATCTGGCTCATGTCAATTAACCAGAGGCTCAGAAATAGGTCTGAACCTTAACGGAACTCGGGCCAGAGATGCTGAACAGCAGATAGAAAGGTCTCCAGGTATATCTGTCTCCACAATTAATTATCACTTCTCTAGAGCAGTGGCTCTCAGAAGGATAATTTTGATCCTCACTCAAGGGATACTT